TATATATATATATATATATATATATATATATGTATTTTTTTTTTTTTTCAAATAAAAATGTTGAGTTGAAATTTTTCTATCTTCAAATAATTTCATCTATTTTCAAATTACAAATTTTTTAACCGGTGACGTTAGTCGAATGGTCAAAGGCGCACGGCCTATAGAACACTCGACTAACTCACCGGCCAGGCGTGGGTTCGAATCCCAAGCTGGTCTTAGAAACCAGCTTGGTTGAGATTTGACCCTTGGCGGGTAAGTTAAGATTCTTACAACCCAAAAGACCCAAACGTACCACTCCCAACAGTTAAAACCGACTCTGAATAAAAATTAATTAAAAAAAAAAAAAATTTTGAAAGTTTCATTTTGAATAAAGCTGGAGAAAAAATATTTTTGCTCCCGGGAAAAGTTGAGCATTTTGCTCATCCTGGGACTAAAGGTGTCAGTCTAAAAATCGGATGTTCGGTCTTTGTCGGTGTCGCTCGGATGTTAGCGGCAGTTTACGGTGGTCCATAAAGCATTAGTGGAGAGCGTGAGCAAATTCCTTACCACAGGAGTAAAGATTTGGCAAGTTGACGAAAGTGCTGACGGGTTAATCAGGAAAAAACTGCGAATTATTGAATTTCAGCATAATCAAATCTCATTAATATAACATTACGCATCACAGATATTATAAACATATAATAAATTTTAAATAAACAGCATGAATAAAAATTGAATTTCGGAGTTTATGGATAACACCTATTCTTTTCCCTATAAGACTATTTAATCATAATAAAATAAACGTATTAAAAGGTTATATGGAGTATTTGAATTGTCATGCATTTTTATAATTTAGAATCATACATTTTATATTTTTTTTAAATGTTCATAATTTGCTTGCAGCTATTCTGGCACACTTTTTTTTCCTTGCTGCATTCTTCTGGCTGAATACAATGTGCTTCAACATCTGGTGGACATTCCGGTGAGTCTCTTTTATTGAAATTCTGTATGAAATTTCATATAGTGCTATTTGAAAAATCAATACGAGATTTTAAGAATTATTGTAAAAATCCGGATAAAAATTCTCAAAAACAGAATTCATAAACTCACAAATGAGTGAATTCACAAATTAAGCGAATTTGGCTAAAATCTTTTTATAAGAAAAAACTGGAAAAAAAATTTTTTTTTTTTTATGAATTTTGAAATAGAAACACTAAACCCTTAAAAAATTACTACCCAAATAACAGTATCATTTACAAGTGTTTACGTAAGACACTGGTAACTGGTAAAAAAAACATATTTATTCGAATTTTCACAAGTTTCTGCAAGATGACTTTTATAATATCCAATCTTGTAGCAGATCCCAACATAATCCCAACATACAATTGAGATAAAATATGTGTGAAGCCAATTTATTCGTAACCTGATTGGTAAAATATATCATAAGCCATGAAAATATAGACAAACTATATTCAGGCGCTTGCGCACGCAAATTAAATTTTAGTTTAGAAAGAAAACATAACATATAACCCCTACTGACACACTAGGTATCTGCTTCTTTTTTCTAATGTGAATCTTGTTAAAAAAAAGTACATGTCTATTCATACGTAAAAAAAGTCCTAGTAAATCCACGCTGCGTGCGTGGAAAAAATTTTGCAAAGACACAGGCAAATGATGTGTAGCAGGTGTCTCAAGATGCATTTTACTATATGTATCACTGTTTTACTCCTTCTATATAAAATTGAAGACTACCTTACTGAGGTGTAAAGTTTCAACCTAAGAAGTAGTGAAACATAGATAATTATACATTAAGACATCATAAGACTTCATTCGCAATTCTGCTGCAAGCCATGCGTCTATGTCTTCGAGTAATTCCTTGCGCAAGTCTTATGCATTTACAGTACCCATGACTTTCGGAAGAATATTTATCAATTCATATAAGACATACTTGGTTAATTCATTAGTTATCGAATATCGTAAACTAACTTGATACAATTCAGATTAAAGTTTTGCACGCCTCATAGCGCGAAGTGCGTAAGATACATATTGCTTTACATCCGACTCGTTAAGGTCAAGCAATTTTGTGATCTTTAAGTGCCTCTATTACAACCATACTGCACTTATACAATAATATGAGTAGACTTACATCGAGAAAATACTTGAAGTAATAAACCATTTCATATTTTTGAAAATCATTTTATGTTGCTACTTTAAAAAAAAACGTTTCGAAAAAAATTTTACGTAGACGTCTTGATGTCACTCGCTGATTTTGTATGTACCAACGATTACTCCTGAATAAAATCATATACCGAGACCGGGCTTTTTTCATTAATCCCAGAATTCGATAAACTGGTACCGTATTTCATATCTGTAGCTTAGTTTACGTAGTTTTTTCTTTAAGGTAGTACTACCGGTTTTAGAATTGACGTTCAGAATTTAATGAAATTTGGCATATTAGTACTTTATAATATCATAATTAAGCAGTAAAATTTTTGGAACCTAAGCAAGTCCTGAAAAAAAGATATTAATATCTACATATTTTTGCTTTTACCATTGATCCTTATGGAAAATCACAGACTTTATTTTATTTCACAAAACTGGACATTCAGATTCTTATAAAAATCAAGACAACGAGGGAAAATAACATCTAGAACATATTTAATAATAATCAGTATGGTTTCCAAGAATATGAGAATATTTATTAATAAAAAACATTCAAAATTTATCTCTGTCTCTCTTTCTCCAACGTGATTTAGTATAGGGAAATCTACTACGTTAATCAAATAAGGTTAGGTTTTATGATTTGACTCTTGTGGTAACGGTAGTACTACCTTAATGAATTTTTTAAAATTTACTCTGATACACATCTACAAAAACAAAAGAACTTTTCTTATTTCTCTCACGTGAAAACTATGGCGCCACTTAATCAAGCTAGATTTTTTTAGATGTGCGCGAGTTACATCTCAGATTGCACTGAGTATTATCCAGATAGTACTCAGTAAAATCTAGATTGTTCTGAATATTATCCAATTTAGATTGTACTGAGTACTATCTAAAATTTTTTTTACCGCAGATCTTGCTGAATGTAATCCGGAACGGTAGCCAATACAATCTTGTTCTTTCCGTGTAGCAAGATTCACAGTTTTCCAAAACAAAATGATTCACTTTCCTTCTGACACTTGATTATTGATAAATCGTAGCGTTATGTTTAGTTTGTCATTACCATTGCTATTATTTAAATGATCAAAACTGATTCAAATATATCTAATCTTAGGTATTATTTTAGTTATATTACAAAAAATTTCTATTAAAGTTTATACTTCGTTTTCCTACTGTGCATTATGCAAACTTATTACCGTAAATATTGTTTTTATATCTTTTACACTGAGAAAAAAAATACTTTTGCTCAATTAACAATTTCTTGGCTCAAGAAACACGCTGACGATCAAATATTCTATTATTATTAATTATTAATTTCTGAAGAGAAGAACATCAATATTTATTTGTGGATAATAGATAAACAAAAGAATAGCTTCATTTAAATTAAGTAAAAATTATTTTAATCAGTTTAACAATTTCTTGAGCTAAGAATATATACTCTTGAAAATTTTCAAGAACATAAATTCTTGAATCAAGAAAATTTTCTTAATAAAAGTAATTTTTTTTCTCAGTGTACTCTATTATTTATATCACCTTTCTCGTGATGATTATACTTACAATTTAAATTAATTTTATTATAATTGTTATGTGCTGTGCTCAAATATTATTTGTAAATGTCTGTAAAACTCTTGCCATTTGACTAAAGCGACCATGAAGCTTAACCATGTGAATTAATTCCTTAGCCAGCTAGCTAATCTGAATTAATCGGTTAAATTTATAGCTACTTGGTTAGTTAAATCAGTTGAGCAGTTCGCTGATTAACTGCTTGAGAAAATAATACACTTTCCAATTGTCTGTATTGACACATGGACTAAGGCAGACATTGCCACAGTAAAATTTTATCTTAAGTGCTCAAGCGTAGGGTAGTTTCGATATATATAAGAAATAGCAACGAAGACTCCCCGGTGAGTTCAACAATGCATGTTGAAAAACTGTAAAGGCTTGACGATTTTTAATTCCGAGTAAACGTTCTCCTCTAACGAATTGAACTCCAGCCTCGAGATGAGAGGAGATGGGTCTTTGTCAAGGAAGAAATAATCCAACTTTCGTACCGTATGGAAATGTGTTTTAAATGGCTTTACAATGATGTAACTTCAAAAGCACATACCCATATAGCAAACTTTTTCAAGGCTTGAGCAAATCTGGTCTCAATTTCGATAGTTGTTAGTGTCTTTTTCTACCTATGGGTCTTGCTCCAGATACTTGTAGCAAATTCAATTCACAAGCCTTGTACAAGAACTTTGGGCCAGATTATAGCTCAAGTCTTGAGAAAGACTGACACCAGAAGCATGCTAAATATACTTGTGCAAGAGTTGCTCAAGATGAAATGTTTTTGAATGACCGTTCGCATCATTCTACCCCTCCTATATTTACTATAGAATCAGTGGATTTCTGAGAATTACGGATCTTGAGCAAATCTTGAGCAAGTCATGGGTAAGTCTTTGTTATGAGTTTCTGGTACAAAAAATGCGTAAGAAAGTTTTTCAATGCACCTTGCTTTAGACTTGTCTCATATTCTTGCACAAGATGTCTTGAGCTAGTTACATATAAATCTTGAACCATGTCTTTTTAAATAAACTTGAGCAAGACCCATATGTAGAAAAAGACACTAGCAACTAGGGGTTTTGCTCATCAAGACGCTGGCACCAAAATCTTGCTCAAGCACATGTTACTTGGGTAAGTGATCAACATTTCGTTTCTCATCACTACCCGGAAAAAAATCATCATCGATGATCATGCCAGTACGGCCAGATCGTGGATAAAAAGTACCCCCACCCAGCATTACACACCGTGCTATGTATTTTGCCTAGGGAAGGGGATCTTTTTACCCACGATCTGGCTGCATTGGATCATGCAAGACCATAAGTTAATCTCATGCATGACCATGCCTGAATATTCTCCAGATCTGAAAAAGCATAATCATGCTTGAAGAACAAATAACGATAAAAAAATTATTTTTTTGTTTATCACGGTTTTAGTATTTCACTTATTTAGTTGCGATTGATTTTTTTTTTTCATTAAAAATTACCATTTAACATCTGGTCTTTGACGAGATTCGAACATGGGACTTTTGAGACATGAAGAACCAACTAACTACTACGCTAATCCACCTTATTATTTAGAAAGAGTTTTACTACATATTATTATCGTTCGTCATTACAATTATTTGATCAATAATCAAATAATCCGTTAGAATAATCAGTTGCAATTTCAATTGCACGTACGAAATGGATTTCTTTGAAAAATTTGAAATCTTTAAAGACTTACTTTGTTTCTTTTGACAGTATCTGAATGATTTTCCAACATTTTTTTTTTTAATCATGCAAGTTATTATGAGAGTTCTTATTGATGTCTACATGAAGAAATCTACATATGGTTTTATTTCAGTAAAATATAACTTTTTTGAAATACTAAATGAATATTTGAAATTTTTCTGTCTTGCTTGGGTGATCACTCATTTAAGCAACAACTTGAATGGGTGACCACTCTAGTCAGCGTTGGTTAGCGCGAGGGATCTCTGCACATTAGGAGAGGGGCCTAATGCTCCAGTGGTCGATAAAGAAGAGTTTCTTATCAATCACTGTAGACTTAGCCCAGCTCCGACTGTACTATCATGGGTTTTCTCTGTGGTTTTCCCATGTTACTGTTCCAACAGCCTGAGAGGTGAGGTTCAGGGCGAATGCAGTACAGAAAGCACAAGTCGGTCCACAGCCGCAATATAAAGCAGAAGAAGTGTTGGGTGGGACTTGCTGAGGTCCAATATAGAAGAAGAGCAAGGAAAGCGTAAATGCTAGGAGAAAAGAGGGGAGATCAGCCTTGTAAAAAACCGAGAAAGGTGTACAAGTAAAAAGCAATAAATAAAAAAAAAAATTTCTCTGTCTTGTTGTAAGAAGCCTTTCCTAAACTTCCATTTCAGTAATAGCAATTTAAAATTAATTAATCATATCTTAAAATAATTTAATCAACTTACAGAGATTTGAGACCGGCAAGCTTGGAAAAGAGTCAAGAAATATTACGTTTAAGAGTGTATGCTTGCTACGCTTGGGGTGGACCATTTTTGGTTGCTGGACTTGCTGCTCTTCTTGATCACTTACCAGCCCAACCTCACAACCCTTTCCTGAGGCCTAGATTTGGAGAAAAAATGTGTTGGTTTTATGGTAAGTTGCACTCTGTCTATCCATAAAATAATGTTATTTAGAAGCCAAAACAAAATATTTTGTTTTTTTTTTTTACTATCGTAATTAAGCATATTTTATTATATCTTGGTTAACTTAGTTACGTAGCGAGTTGGAAAGCTTGAGAATTTCTGAAAGATTGAGAATACTAAATCGATACGTATATACTAACATTACCTGGAACAACAATATTTCCCAAACTTTTGAAAATGTCCATTTTCATATTCAGAAGTTGAAGAAGTACATCAAAACGTCTTTTTTTATATTGATAAATTCTTTTTGTTTAGAACCTATTTGAGAATATATATTAAAAGTTAACACTTTTTGTTAACAGGAGATACAGAAATTTTGGCTTATTTCTTCGGTCCTATTGGTGTTTTACTCATCATTAATGTCATATTTTTCATCGCAACTGCTCGAGAATTAACTTGTGGACTATGGAAAGGTGAATTCGTAAAAAGCACTACAGAAAGGTTAGTAATTTATTACTTATTTAGAACAGAATTTTTTACGTTTCATGGTAAGACGGTAAAAGTTACAGAAAAACAGTAAAAAAGACTTTCAGGGAAAATTCGATTACTACAAAAAGATCCCATGCATTAATGCGTAAACAAACTTAATAGTTTGAAACATATAGAATATTTTAAATGTTAATTTGTCAAGTACTTATTTATTTATTTTAGACCCAACGGCCTAAAATAATATAATAATAATATACCACATTGGTTACAAATTTATCGAGTTCATACTCTAAAAAAACTAGGAGATTTTTATTTTGATAATGTGTTGTAAAATCAAAAAGTTTTGATCTACAAACATTTTCATTTGTATAATTCATGTAATTATTATTTATTTTCTATGTTCTAGAGCTGCTCTCGGTCGAGTTTGTTTGAAATTAGTAATTGTCATGGGTGTAACCTGGGTTGCTGACATTATATCATGGGCTGTTGGTGGTCCCAACTATTTGTGGTATTTTACAGACCTTTTGAATGCCCTCCAAGGCCTTTTTATCTTCATTGTAGTTGGATGGCAACCTCAAGTTCGTGCTGGTCTGAAAAAATTATTCAATCGAGATCCTCGAACAAGTGCTGGAAGACAAGGAAATGGTCTTAGTACAACAAGTCACGGTATGCCTAGCATGGGAGACAGTATGACTCAGAACCCAAGCACTAAGTCCGCGGCATTAGAAACTATCTGTTAAGATTTATAAAGATCCACGGAGACAAAACCGAAGAAAATTACACTAGTTATTTGCATTTCGAGAAAAAAATGTGTAATTTACAAATGAGATGAATTGCTAGTGAAATCTTTAGTATTTTAAGTATTTTTTTATTTTATCACATAATAGGATAAAATTTGAAAAATCCAGTGAATACAATTCGAAGCAGCTATATTTTTTTTTGTATTTTATTTAAAGTTTTTTTAGAAAATATTTTCTAATTTAAAAAAATGTTTTTAGTATTACATTGCAAGAATCTTGTTTAATTCTGGAGAAAATTAACACCACTATATAACTGTACCTATAATGTTGTAGTGTGTTTCAATATAATCACTACTAGAGTAAATAATTAAGAAAAAAAAGAAGAAGAATTGTTTTTAAATTATGAGAGGAAAATTGAATTAAAAATAAATAATTTATAGGGTAGATGTTTGTATAAAATCTACATGTAACGTAACTCTCATCAAAAAATAAGCAACCAAGTGTCACACATTAAACTATCGTTTGAATTGATTAGGAATTTATTAAGTTGTATTAAATTGCGATAAAAACATACATTTTTTAAAACTATTTATACCAAGCTCAATTTTTCAATTTAATGCATTAAAATTTACAAAGTTCTTGTTGTGATGCTTTATAACTTAAAGATTGTACGTTTAAATCGTCTAAGCTTTTACTTACTTATTAATAAGTGTGTATTCGAAAAAGAGACTGAACTACTATTTATTTATATAAATTTACGTTGTGTGTACAAATTCATAAAAAAACAAAAGAAACAAACTTAAGATATACATAAAAAAATGGTAGAATGCTTTCTTAGTTTTCAATAATGAAAAAGTTTGCTATTCGCAAAAAAATAAGAACTAAAAAAAAATTTTCACATTTTTATGGACTGTATATAGACTATAAAAAAGATGGTCAAAATAGATGATATCTAGGTATTTACATAGACGTAGGGCTCCACTTGTTTTCAGCTATAAAAAATTTGAAAATAAAGATAATCACAAATGGATTTTTTTAACGTGTCCTACTCGTCGTTGGGTTAAAGATAAAAAAGTTTGATTTCTAAATAGTTTTACTTTTGATGCGTAACTTGAACAAAAAAAAAACGTTGAAAAATTAATGCATAATTTTCAAGTTATTGATAAAAAATCGAAATTTCAGTTTCAAGACTTTAAATTCAAAAATCGTTATGGAACTTAATCCGAAAAGTAGAGCAAAAAAAACTCAGATAAGTCAATTTTTCGATTCTTTATGGCTAAAAATAGGTGAAATCCTATTTATATATAATTACTCATATTCACAATGAAAATCTGCCGATTAAATGAAACGTAAAAATAAGTTGGATTTTTTTTATGCTAGAGGTGAAGACTTCAAACTTTGAATGTTTTTTATTCATTAGTTATTTTATTTCCAAAAATAAAGCATTTTTAAAATTGATGAAAATTTTTTTATAGTTCTTTAAAACTTTCAAGTTATATTAGAACAAGTTATAGATTCATCAACTAAGCAAATGAATAATAGAAATCTCATGCTCTGATTAATTATACATTTATTATTATACATTGTTGTAGACTAAAGTGAACTAATATTTTGATATTTATATATGTAGGTATTAATATAATGATAAGTTAATATTAATTTATTTATTACGGATACATTTATATTATAACATAATTTTTATAAAGTAAAAAAAATACTTTGACTGCCAAAATTTGAATTGTATTATTTTTAAATGAATTTTTTAATCGCTTTTACGGACACGAAAGTGAGCTCATTTGTAGGTAGAATATGAATAGTCCTAATATAAAAATAATTTTGATAATTTATAAAAAATAAAATTATAAGATAAAAAAGCCTTTCAATCAATGCCTTCATATTAGATGCCAAATAAATGGTTGATAAAAATAATTTTGGAGTGATTAAAAATAGTTGAGTAAATGTAAAATTCGATAACTAATGAGATGAACCAATCTAATTAAAGTGATAAAATTAAAAAAATTAATTTAATTACAAAAAATTTATCTACATTTATTAACTCGACGAATATAATTGGGTAAAAAAGATATGAAGTAACAATTTTGGTTAATGCATATTAAAATAATGATTACAAAAATTATCCTATTAATTTTTGTGAAATTAAAAAAAGAAAACAAAATAATAGTAATAATAATAATTAGTCTACACATCGAAGACTTTTTATTAGCTTCAATTCCGCGTTAAGTTTTCCATTATGAATCTTGAGTAATTATAAGCACAAAATTTACTTTTTTAGTATTCAATAGTATTCTTATACTTAGAGTAAACCTATATTTTTGTTCCATTTTTTTATATGTTAATAATATTTAAATAAAGTTTGTAATAATCTTGTGCCTCAAAATAAAACTTGATGGAAAAGTATAGACAATAATAGAGATGTATGATCATCTTGCATGATTTAGCTTGTCAAAATATTTGATATTAAAAGATAGTAGCTTAGTAATGGTATCATAATATTGATAATTATCTTAAAACTGTAGAATATCAATAAGTTATAAATTATAAATTAGAGTATTGATTTCGTTGTGTTTTAATTTTTTTAAAATATTATAGTTTCGGAAATAAATTTTAAAAACTAGTAATGCAAGCGTATACATAACTACTTAATTTAAGATACTTAATGGAGTCAAAGCTAAAAGGGTACACGCGTCAAAGAATTTTTTTCTATTTTAGAATTAAAAAGTTACTTTTTGTGAGCTTTAAATCAGTGTTACTTCACAAAATAATTTTTTGTCACTTATATGGGTTATTTTCCAGTAATCGATTAGTTTCTAAAACAAATTGAAAATTAATTATTTACATCATTTATTGGATAATTTTATAATAAACTTTGATTAACGATCGGTTAATAGAAACATTAAACAATTGAAATGTTTGTGCAGCTTAGATTATTAAAAACACCCCAAAGAACTGACAAAACGAAGAATTAAATTTTTTGAAAAACATTTTTTTTCTCTGATGAACGTATTTCAACTAATTATTTAGAACAAAAGACAAAAAAATAAATACGTTTCAAAAATGATCGTGAATATAAAAATATAATTCCTTTTTAACAATGCAAAATAACAAATTTTTCAGATTCAAGATAAGACAAAAGTATTACTTGAAGTTTTGTATGTTGTCTCAAACTTAATAAGAGTAATGAAAGTTCATTCAAAATTGAAATAAACTATTAATAAACATTTAACTAAGTACCTTAAACTACAATAAGCATTATAATACTTATACAATTTTAATAATAGTTTAAAATATGTTTACATCAAAGTGTTCATTGTTTGAGATAGTACATAAAAAAATTGACATTTTAGGGAATTAAGGAAGAATTTTTTTGTTTTAACAAAAAAACAATTTAATTTATATATTGACTGATATACGTAAGAATGAATTATATCTTTTAATAATTAAAGTATTAGCTATTAAACGGAGTTAATCGATTCTGTAGAATGACTCTTATCTTGTTTATTATGTACCTTCTTAATTCTACCAGCTCATTTGTATTCTTAATGGTAATTAATTTTCCGTCATCAATCTGTCAAATAAAAGAACAACTACTTAAGAATGAAATTATTAATTTATTGATTATTTATGTATAAACTCAGTTAAACTGTACTTCTGTGTAATTACAAATATTCAATTAAAAATAATTGAGTTCTAAAAAAGTGAAATATTTATTTTTTCTTTCCAGTTGAGTTAATTAACATATATAAAATAATTGTGATCATTGGTAGTCAAAATATGGCCCTGAAAAAAACTTTACGCATGATTTTTTGAATTTTCAAAGTAGTTTACATATTTTTGAATAACCTGATTAAATTATAAAGTAGCCGATTTTGTATGGATTGCCGAATGAATATTTATCAATTAAAATGCCGTAATAATAAGATTGTCTTTTGTTTGTTTTCCGTGCTTAATATCCCTTTATTAGTATTTACATTAATTTGAAAGACAAAATTTGAAATTTTTTTTATAATAGAATTTGCAGGTTACTTAAAAATATGTAAAGAGCATGGTTGTGAAAGTTGAAAAAATTTTGAGCACTTTCTCCATATCAAAATATCGATTTAAAAATTTGACTACACAATTTTCAGCGTAGATAATAGGTAGTAGAATAACAAAAAAAAAAGATTGAAAACGAAAAAAAAAAAAAATGCATGATATGGAAATCAGAGGATGTGACTATTTTTTTATTTTAATTAAGAAATAAATTAGTTATAATAATTATTTACAAAAATTTTTATTCACAGCTTTTTTAATTTTTACATGCAAAATTGTTTTTCTAAATTATTTTGTTAGAAAAATCTTAAAAATTACTTTTAAAGATGGTTTTTGGAGAGAACTTTTAAAACATGATGGACCAACATATTTTCATAGGAAGTTCAAAAAGAAGTAAGTTTTTTTTCCATCATTCTGTAATGATTATATCCAAGTTTTGTTTTTATCCAGATAATTACTTTTTATCAGTATATTAAATAATTAAATGAGCCTGTCAAAAACGAGTAATTTTGTGAATCGACATGTATAGTGCAGGACTCCTTGTTTAAAAATATTGATTGAAAAAAATTAAAAATGATAAAATTCGAATTCTTTTATATAATTTCAATACTTTTGTTTGTATATATAGATCTACAGTTTGCATGGAGTGACCGCTTCTCAATTCTTTTCTAGTCCTCTATAACAATATTACAAGTTACTCTTTCGAAAGTTCCGTCATGAGGACCAATGCAATAATTAGATTTCTACAAAATTTACTAAAAATGGTGGCTTCACGAAAAAAAAAAAATTAGAAAAACGGTTCACCCTAAAGGCCATCCCTGCAACTTCCCGCCAATTCTATACCTAAACGCTTGAAATTGCACTTATGACGTTTTAGAGCTCTTGGAGCTCATAAATACAATTTGTGTATTATTTTGAGCTCTCCGAGCTAAAAAAAATAGCTTTTGTAT